TAATATATATATATATATAAAACAAAAAAACTTTTAAAAAGTCAAATAAATAAATACTAAGCAATCTAACATTTGGTCATAAGGTGAACATTAGACGGATTTTTGCTAAATGTTCTCCTTCCTCTTTTCCCCCAGCCATGTTGCCATTCTCTGCTCTTCTTTCCTTATCCACAATTTCCTATTCTTTCTACCTTTGACCTTGTACAAGACTAGTCTGAGTTGTCTCTGAAGCAACAGTCCTAAGATCATGAAAAGAACTTGCTCTCTGGAGCCAATTATCTGGTGACTTCAGTGTGATCTCTGTGCAGCACAGTGAAGACTGTGAAAGAACTCACCTGTCAACAGTAGGACACATGAAATGCAGCCTCAAGAGGCACTTTTTATGTTTAAATACCAAGGCTAGCCAGCCTCCCAGGCACCTCCCTCCAGGAGCAGGAGCCTATGTGCTGTGTACCTGCTCTGGAGGGAATCATTTGTGGGGAGCAGAAAGCTGAGGGAGTACATTGGCTTGTAAGAGACTGGCATACCAGGTAACCCTTGGTTCAACGATTGGATTGTTGCACTAAATGAGCCAATGATAATAAGTCCTGGCAAAATAAAAGAGCTTGTATTATGAGTGGAAAAAATTCCTATTTGTTTTTCTTTTTGTGTGTGTGTGTGTGTCTTTGTTACTGTCAGGCAGAAGGGAAGCACATATACAATACCAATCTGTAAAATAAACCTGCAAAATTTCAAAAAGATGAAATCCTAAAAAGACAGCCATAGGAAGACCCCAGCAGATCTTATGTTTATTTCAGAATCTCCCTTACCTAAGAAACTTTTGCTTGAGTGAGATATATTAAGGTAAGATGAACTCAATACTTTTGCAGTGGGTCCCCCGGGCAGAGTGTCTAGACACATAGCAGCTAAAAAAGGGAAAAACTATGTCTGAAAAAGCTGATATGAGATCTTCAAGTTTTTTTTTTCATGTCTGTATAATACATTGTTGAGATAATGAGTATTCTCTCCTTATTTGAAAGAAACACACGAACACTGATATACTTTAGGGATTTAATATTTGAGAAAAATTTATTGCATTTACTCCTCATTTATTGTTCTTTGAAATGTGGAGCAATGTATACTTTAATTTTTTTTAATCTTTTGAGACAGGGTCCTGCTACGTCACCTAGACTGGCCTTGAGTAGAGTTTAAATCTTCTTGCCTCAGTCTCCCAGGTGCTGGTATGACAAGAGGGCACCACCATGCCCAGGTTATATTTTCAACATCTAGATTTCAGAGTCTTTGTGTCTATTTTATTAGTGTGTAATCTTTTCCCTTGAAGAACTAACTTTGAACTAAGAAACTGCAATTCTTTCCTCCTCTCCAGAATTGTTAGTAAATGTTTCTTCCTACCTCCTGGAAGAAATAATCAGTAATTTTGCAGTCTTTCCTAGGTGATGATGTGCTGTACTGTAACTAATTTAGTCCTCTGATGCTGGAATTTGGGGAAATGTTGTGGGTAAAATGTTAAAAAAAGAAGCCAAAACAATAATTACCCATTTAAGAGAGATCTAGTGAAGAGCTTCACCTTATTCTATTGTTTAAAAATCTTACTGCACATATTTTTATTTGGAGGTGAATCTCCAAAAATGATCCTTAATGTGTAAAACTTTAAAGTTACTCATAAAGGCTCAACTCCACTTACCTTTAACAAAGGTAACAATTTGTTAACAATTTCCCTTTAACAGAGCAGTAACAAAGCAGTAGTCTAGCGGCATCTGTAATCTTTGACATTACCTTTCCCAGATAGTCATTTAAAAATAATGTGTGTGTTTTATTCTATCTTCTATTTTAATCTAACTCATAGCTGCTCACAGATCTCACTAGTATATGTGATTATATTTCCTCTATCTGTCATTAATGTTTTGCTATTAATTTCCCTACTATATGTGACTATGCATCAGGAGCATACTGTTTACTCCCAGACTTGTTTTATTTCATGTGTTAAGGAAACGAAGGCTGAGGTGTAGCCCATGAAAAGACCAGTTGCATAGCATGTCTAAAGCTTGGGGTTTGGTTCCAGGTACCACCCCACAAATTCACTTCATGAGCTCAAGGTAAATTATATCAATTCTCCGAAAGATTAACATTACCACACTGAAATTTGAAACTTTAGTAACTTTAAAATGACAATGGAGATTATACTGTTTTGTTTTGGGGCTATGCAATGCGTATAGGTGTTTAATACTGGACAGTGCTTGAGTAATTTTCCAGTGCTTGTTTTACATTTCATCCCGTTGAATCTCAAGCAAGGAAGATTTAGAAATACAGGTTTTTAGCTTTTCAACTCCTCCAATTTTTTTTGACCATTTCATGGAAATTTTTAGTTATTTTTAAAGTTAATTTATTCAATGAGGCTATTAGGTGTTTAAGAGTTCATAAGTTTCATTCTCTTAAAGTTTAGGACGCAAAATAATATGTAATTAAGTAGTGTGTGCTCTGTGATCTGACTGATAGTCAGAAGGAGCTTTATATGAAGGAGCTTTATGATGTTTACCTTTCTTTCATTTTATTTCCCTATGGCTTGGCTTCTCAACTTCAATTTAATTGCATAATATTTGGTTGATAGGATTAAAATTAAAGAAAAGTACTGACCACAGAAATTAAATTACTATATCTAGTGCAAATAAGATATGTCACATGTCTAGATTTCAAATAACCCAAAGGCACTGGAAATAATTATTGAGGCATTATAGCAAAAGATATAGAATATTATTTTCAAAGGTACTGTATTCTCAGGACTGCCTTCTTCAGGTAAATCTGGTTCCAGGCATGTATGTGGGTTCACTTCTCCAAGAGGTCGGTGAGTTTTAGTTCATTCTCAGGCCAAAGTCCATTTCTCCAACCTGTCACTGGATCTCACAGACTCTTGTCATTGGCCATCAGAGTGATACATCCAGACTCAGCACTGCAAAAACAAATCAACCTCATGTCATGGCCAGGGTGAGTCAGCCCCATTGTTTTCACATTAGAAAGGCAACCACAAAAAGGCTACAAAACGACAAGTGAAATAACAAGCACTCCTATATGTCAAATTCAATACCAGTATGAAACTTGCTATCTGTGGCCATGAGGTCTTCAACCACAGTCTGAGTTCACAGATGCAACTGTGAAATAAAATCAGATAACCCATGAGATTTTCAGAATCTGCCATTTGCGTAATATTTTTTTTACTGATGGACATTATGTATAATCTTGTAATCTTCAGCATATCTATACTTTTCCACACCTTTGCTCTAAATTCTGAAGACTATATTCTTTACATAGGAGAGAAAAATGCTTCCTTCTAAGTGGTAAAGGCAGAAGCATTTGCAATTGCCCACAGAGATTTTATTTTTTATGCTTATTTTTTGAGATAGGGTCTCCCTGTAGACCCAGCTGGCCTGGAACTCACTATGTAGATCTGGCTGGTCTTGAACTCACAGAGCTATGCCTGCCTCTGCATCCTGAGTGCTGGGACTAAAGGCATGTGCCACTATGTGTGGCTCAGATTTTATTTTTGAAAGAAGCAGTATCCCTTCAGATTATAATTAATAATCATTTAATCTAAAGAAGAGATTAAATGATTTTAATTTCATTTAATCTAAATAAGAGTTCCAAAGCTCTTCATCATTCTTGAGGGGATTATAGTCTGGGGAATTAGTTAATATAGATACACAGGAAAAGTTCTTGGTCAGCATATAGATTTGGAGTCCTGAGTCAAGGCTACAGATTAATGCAATGGAATATGTAGACACTTGGGTTATTTGGATGCTGAATGATTGAATCTCAACTCAATTTTCTTTAGTCCCTTCCCATTCTAGGAGCGGGCCTTAGACTAACAGCTTTGACCTCTCCTAAGAGCTTGTGAGTATACAAACTCCCAGTTCCATTCCCCAGAATCATAGTCTGTGCTTTACAAATACCTACAGGTGTTTCTTGTTTTTTAAACTTTTAGTTTTTATTTTATATGTATGAGTGTATTGCTTGCATGTAAGTACACCCATATCATGTAGTGCCCAGGGAGGACAGAAGAGGCTGTTGGATCCCCTGGAACTGGAGTCATGGACGGTTGTTAGCTGCGATGCAGGGGCTGGAGTTTGAAACCAGGTCTTCTGCAAGAACAACCAGTGTTCTTAACCACTGATCCATCTCTCTAGCTTGACCTACAGGTATTTCTATGAATGCAAAGTTTGGGGAAACAACATTCCTGGTCGGTAGGGACTTCAAATTTAGATCAGAAATGCAGGTTAGCTGAAATTCTACAGATATTTGCCCTACTAATGATTTTCATTCTTTTTCTTCCTTCTTTCAGAGAAAGGAACAGGAAAAATTTGAAGAAGACCCACAGTACCCACAAGACAAAGACAATGAATACACCAGACCTCTGGAATCCTCCAGAAGTAGAGTTTTGCTTTGCTTTAGCCAATAATTCCTGCCCTAGAAAGGAGAGGCCCAGGCCCGTTGTCTGTGCCATGTACCTTGTCATGATTGGAGCCATACTAATGACCATATTGGGCAACATGTTTGTGATCATCTCCATTGCCCACTTCAAGCAACTCCATTCTCCAACCAACTTCCTGATCCTCTCAATGGCCACCACAGACTTCCTGCTGAGTTGTGTGGTCATGCCTTTCAGTATGATCAGGTCCATTGAGTCCTGCTGGTATTTTGGAGACTTCTTTTGCAAAGTCCACAGCTGCTGTGACATCATGCTCTGTACCACCTCTATTTTCCACCTCTGCTTCCTCTCAGTTGACCGCTACTACGCTGTCTGTGACCCTTTGCACTATGTCAACAAAATTACCATCCCTGTCATCGAGGTCTTTCTGCTGGTCAGCTGGTCCATTCCCACTTTTTTTGCCTTTGGCTTGGTATTCTCAGAATTAAATTTAATTGGCGCTGAGGATTTTGTTGCAGCCATTGACTGTACAGGCTTATGTGTGTTGATATTTAACAAGCTCTGGGGGGTGCTGTCTTCCTTCATAGCTTTCTTTCTGCCTGGGACAATCATGGTGGGAATTTACATACACATTTTCACAGTAGCCAGGAAGCATGCCAGGCAAATCAGCATGGGTCCTAGGACAAAACAAACTGGCTCAGAGAGCAAAATGAAGGCAACATCCAAGAAAGAAAGCAAAGCCACCAAGACGTTAAGCATAGTTATGGGAGTGTTTGTGTTGTGCTGGATGCCCTTTTTTGTCTTGACAATCACAGACCCTTTCATTGATTTCACAACCCCTGAAGATTTGTATAATGTTTTCCTCTGGCTAGGGTATTTCAATTCCACCTTCAACCCCCTCATCTATGGCATGTTCTATCCTTGGTTTCGCAGGGCCTTGCGCATGATCGTCACAGGAATGATATTCCACCCTGACTCTTCCACATTAAGTCTGTTTCCTATGCATCCTTAGGCTATGTTCCCCATTCACCTAGATTTCTTTTTAAGAAGCAATCTTGCATGTTTTTCACCTCAAAAAAAGAGGCAAGGTCTAACTATATGAAAGAATTCTTCCAGAGGATGTGTTGGGCACCTGAGAAAGAGTAGCTGATCTAGTCTTCTGTCATATCCAAGCTCCTACCCAAAGTGGTCATTTCTGGGTTACTGGGGAAGGCTTTAAAGAAAACCCAACTTCCTCCAAAGGCTGCAGACTCCTGAATTATCAAGTTGAAGGATTTACTCCTTAGGCTTAAATCAAATAATAATTCTCTCAGTTGGGCTGAGAGATAGCTTAGTGGTTAAGAGCACTTGCTGCTCAACCATGAGGACCAGAGTTCAAATTCCAGTACTCATATCAGGAGGCTCACAAATGCCTGTCATTCCAGCTCCAAGGAATTGGATGCCCTCTTCTGGACTCTACTGGCACCCACACAGACATATGTGCATAGGCACAGGCACACACATATAAATAAAATTTGAAAAAATAGAAAAAGAATTCTCTCACTTGATCTTGAAATATCTGAAAAGGAGAAACAGTCATTTTCTACAATCATTCAGCCACATAGTACATCAGAGATCATCCAAATCTCTGCTGAGACTATTACTATTTGTAGAGGACTGAGAAAGAGCTTGAGGGTACTGGAAGACTGAATTTTGAAATATGTGACAGAAAAGGAAAAATGAAGCAAGTAGTTACCATAGCTACCATTACTTTCAGGTTTAAACTGCTTTTCAGAAAGAACTGATGTGGGTTTACAATATTTGATAACACTGATCTGTCATTAAATGAGAAAAAGAAGTAAAAAAAGTTTTAGCATTGTTTCCCTCTTTCCTTCTTTCAACATACATCTTTGATATAGGTATATATGCATTCTGTGAGTAAATACATGGGGGATACATATGTGGTATCTCCTCTCTCTCTCTCTCTTTCTCTCTCTCTCTCTCTCTCTGTGTGTGTGTGTGTGTGCACTAATTATTAACCGAGACTGAACTTTATTCACAAAACTGTGCTCTTTTCCCTGACCCATAGTTTAAGGATCTCTCTCTTGAAAATGGGTGTTTTCGCTCCATGTCCCCTTTTACTTTTGATTCTTTTTACCTCATATACCCATTTCACTACATTTTGTTATTTATTTTCATCTTTTATAATTTTTATAGTAATATCAGAATAGTTGAATAAATAGATTCTCTTTATCTTCTATTTACTTGGCCAAATGACATCACACCACTGTTGTAAAATACCTTGAGGTTTTTAATGTTCATATACAGAAATATTTTTGTTTTTGTTTGTTTTTTTGAGACAGGGTCTTCCTGTAGGTCCAGCTGTCCTGGAACTCACTATGTAGACCAGGCTGGCCTTGATCTCATAGAGCTCTCTTAAAGGCATGTGCCATCATGCCCAGCTATGTCTATAAATCTTAGATCGGCCCTCCATGAGCCTGTTTGCATCTTTGAATCTCCTATTGTTCCATAATTTCTACTGGGAAATTACTCCTTCATTAAACAAGCAAGCAAGCAAGCAAGCAAACAAACAAAAAAACCTTTATTGATGTATTTCTACTCAGCTTGGAATTCCAAGGAGTCTCTTAATCTGTATGTTCTTTTGAACATTTGAGCTTCTCAGGGTCAAGATATGATGATAATCTGAGTAGAGCACTTTTAGGTACCAAGAAGTTTCGGTAAAATATTATCATTATCACAGGATAGTGTTTGAGTAAAAATTGGGCTTTGAAATACTTGGCAGCTGGTTTATAGTCTTCTGACAGAGGAGGTGTTCCTTCTTTTCAAAAAGTTAAAGGAGCAGGAGAGATCCTCGGGGAACTCAGATCCTCAGTCCAGGTCTTGAGGGCACAATAGGTCAACTTAGGATGGCAGGGACCACTTATGACCTCCTTCTATGGTGCATCTCCTTTCTTCTGACTCAGCAAGGACCATGGCACTGCTGAATCTGAAGGATTGAATAGGACCACCATTCACTCTCATTCACTCTCATCACTCTCCCCATTCTCTCATCACACACTCATTTTCTCAATTCATCCTCAAAATAGCACAAAATATGTGACACTATGGAGGAACCGAGGTGCTGAGGTCGCTGAGTGGTTCTTAAAGGCCAGCTTTTTCAGCATGAAAGCCAAATAAAGGGGAGAATGAAGGAGTAGCTGGAAGGCTCTCCTGTAGTCAGTGTCATTCCTTACATTAACGAGGACCTTCACAATGTGTAACCGTGTCCATAAACATTAGCTGAATTGTTTCTCAGAACAGTCTTCCATATTCTTTCTATGCTAGTCCAAGTGGACATGAAGCTTCTCATCACATATCTCTCAATTCTTCTCATTATAGGATTCTTCTAGGTTGGATAGAGTAGCCATTCTCTTAGAAGGTTGATAACTGCCATGGGTGCTTGGCTGTGCACGAAACACCATTCGGGTCAATAAACATTTATTTAGTACTTACTTCACGCCTGTTACTGCTCTGAGTACTTGTGGTTTGGAGGTGAGTGAAAGAAGAATGAACTTATGCCCAATAAGAGACCAGAGTCACTCACAGGTAGTATGTGTTATGATTTATCCAGGCATAGGAAGCTTTGAGAACTTGAAGGAGGAAAATTTAGCCTTGCTTGGGGTTTAGGGGAGACTGCCTGCATTTTAAGTTAAAGGGACATATCATCAGGTTTAGTAGGAGAGGCAGAGCCTCCACTAGAGTTGGGATAAAAGATGGGGAACTTAAAGCATCAGAGAAAATGAGTACTAAGCCAATTTCATGGAGCTTTAGAGGGAGCAGATTGGTGCATGCACTTCTAAACTGAAGTGGGGCTGCAAAACTGCAGCTGATGGAAGAGTTAGTGGTGAGCAGTTGCCTCTGAACTAGTGCTCTGCAATCCTTGTGCATGAGTCTTATAGAAAACCTAGGGCCACTGGTGCTCAGCAATGCCAGCAGTCAGAAAGACAAGCTTACTGCAGAGCAGAGGTGAATGAGGCCCAGTACCACCTGTTGGTTGCTTCTCTCCTGTCCGATATCAGCTTCCAGATAACTGAAGAATGATGGCTAAAGATTCACTTCTACTTTCCAAATCTTGAGAGCATCTTGTATATGTTCCTCTAATTTGGCATCATGTCCAGGAAGAGGTTTGGGGGTGATGCAGTTTGCAGCTGAAATGGACAGAGTGTAACTTGTCACAGAAGATAAAATGAGCAAAGGAAATAGGCAATGTGTGCTGGTGTAGAGTCAGTTCAGCCAACTAATGAGGATAGATGAAGGGTATAGGACAAGGCTTGGCAATCACGTTATGCAACCCACTAAGAAGCTTCATCCATTTAGTGAGACAGAAGCATTTAAAGGGTGGAAATTCCAAGTACTAAATGTTAACACTTTTCTCCATATCTCATTAAGAAATTTATGTTCTCTGTAGCTCACGTGGATCTAGGTGTCTCAGTCCTCCCTCCTCAGCCTCCTGAACACTGAGGAAAGAGGTGTGCATCTCCACTGTTCTTGTTCTAGTAGGTAGACATATGAATGGGAGATGTAAAGTAAATTATTCAGTGTGAATGTAATATAGAATAATATGGAATGTAATACTTTCCTGCAGGATTGTTGCCAGGTTGGGAAAGGGCTTTGCAGAACAGTTGCTAGCTGACTTGGGGTTTCACTACAGAATGATAAAAATGCTCCATGTGGGCTCTGGGATGATCTTCTGGGGATCAGGTATTTTCTCTGTGTTTATGGGATAAATGCCTATGCAAATAAGAGATACATAATCATTTCTTTACATTATCAATTTTTTTCTTTAAGGGCTTTAAGGATACTTCCTTTAAGAGGAGAGGATTTCTTAAGGTAGAAGAGAGAGAATGGGGAACAACTAACACTAAAGGTCTTTTGAAAAACTAGATGGAAACCTACTGTTTAGGAAACTTTCTATAATATATACATATACAAGTACAAAAAGAGTTTTAATGGTGTTAGCCTATAACAGGGGTACAACACCCCAATTAAACACATCATCTCAGCAAATAAAAACCCAAATATCAGGAATGAGTTACTTCTCTTTGAGTTATTGGCCAGTGGTCTCCCACTGACTCCTGTACTTTATAGGCTATTGCTATTGCTCTTGGTTACCCTCCAGAACTTGATGAAAATAAGACTTTATTGTCAAAGACAACACATACTTGAGCTATAAAACATGGAGAAATCAATTCAGGTTAGGCCTGGAAGCTTCATTCCTACTACTGGCTAGCTGTCATAGTACTGAAAGGCGCTATGCATTTTACTGCAGGAGAAAAGTGATCATCACTTTTACCCAATTGTGAGCCCTGCCAGTTATAATAAGGACTGGCCTGGCAAGATATGCCACTAGTGCAATAGTGGTACAATGTTATGAGAGTAACCAACCACTTTCTGATTGAATTTAAGACCTGCTGCATGAGATGGAAACTAGTACTGTTATTGGGGCCAAGAATCTGTGGCTAGATATGTCATATGCCCTAGAACATGTTACTAATATTCCACTAAATCAACACAGTATTAAATAACTACTAATGACTTAGTGCTATACCCTTATATTAGTGCATTCTCAATCCTCATCAGAGAGGTTTCTTGTAGTAAAAGGCAATTAAGCCAGAGACCCACAACTGGCCAGTGCGCAGAGAAGGGACTGCAGAATGCTCAGCCTTAAGGTAATGGATGACTACAAGCAAACAGTATTAAGAGAAATACGTAATTTCTCGATATGTGTCTTTTTTTATTAAAAGCATTACTTGTTATATCAACTGTTTTACCTATGTGCTTGAGAAGAATCATGACAGCAGAGAATGTGTTAGAAGAGAACTGTTCATATCACAGGATCTAGAAAGAAAATAGACCAGGGCAAAATACAGGCCTTAAGGATGCACCCCCAGAGACCTATTCTCTCTAAATAGGCAATACCTTCTACATGTTCTGCCACTAAAGCCATCATATTACAAATCAATGAAAGGATTAATCTATTGATTATCAGATCAGAGCCCTCATATCTAATCACCCTTGTAACCACCACCACTGATATACACAGAAGTATTTCTCTTAGGTGTTTCTCAGTCTAATCAAATTGAAAATTAAGATTAACCATCATACTTACTAATAATGGTATGAATGTATTGGCCAATAGCAGAACTGTATCACTAACTTTTAAAAATGTTTTTATTCATTCTTTGAAAATGTCATACATATATATAACAAAATGTATTTTGATCATAATCGCCACCACCTGACATTTTCTTATTCCCCTCTGACTTCCTCTGAACCCCTTCTTTTCTCAACAAGTGTCCCTTCTATTTTCCTACCTTTTAAAAATGGCCCCACTCAGTTTAATTAGTGTTGTTTACATGACGTAGGTATGCATTATTTACTAGAGCATAGGCAATTTATCAGTGCCTACCATTGAAGAAAAATAATCTTTCCCTTCTAGCAGTCATTAATTGCCAGTAGTTTCTCAGCTAAAGGAGAGGCCTCACTGGTCCCTCTCCCATACATGGTAGAATGTTGACATGTTCAGCTTTTTACAGGTCTTGTCCAGGCAACCTCAGCTGCTGTGAATTCATGAGTACAGTAGCCATGCCATGACCAGAAGACAGAGATTAAGAGCACGCCTTCCCAATCTCTGGCTCTTACATTCTTTTCCCCTTTCTTCTACAATATTCCCTGAACCTTGGAGGGACTGATGATATGGATGTTCTGTTCAGGGTTGAGCACATAACAGTCACTTATTCTCAATACTTTAACCAGTTGTAAGTCTCTGCACTAACCACTGCCAATCGCAAAACTAAGATTCTCTGACCAAAGTTCAGAGCGAGCAACAAAAATCTATGGACATAAATATTTGAATGAATATTTGATATCATGTTCACACAGTAAAATATCAGTAGTGGGTTTCTTCATAGGACAGAGGACCCTCTCAGCTGTGGACTTTTGACCAAGCTTACAGTACCAATCATGAATTCTCTCTTGTGGAGCTGAGCTCAAATCCAAACAGAAAGTGACTGGTTACCCCAAACATCATGCCACTATTGCATCAGTGGGCACATCTTATACCATTAATTTTAGTGATGGTAAAATTTACTGTTGCAGGAATTATATTATAGTTTGTTTAATTCATCCTCTGTTGGAAAATATTCAGGTTTTTCCGTTTTTACTACTATTTATACTGTTCAATAAAACACCCTTTCAAATACACACTTTCTATTTGTGAGGTTATCTCCTTGAGACATATACCTTAAATTGTTATTGCTGGTTCCAAGAATTCACTGTAACTGTCTGTCCTCATGCCTTGTTCCAGGAAGGATTTTAAAAAAGGCTTAAATGAATTACATGCAAGAAGATGTGTTAATTTTTTTTAAAAAAATAAGAAAAAAAGAAACCAGAGTGATGTGGGATCAATACTAGCTGTTGGAAGATGAAAGTCTGGCACCAAGAATGGTTCCATGCCATAGAGCTCAGTCAAATGAACCTGGACTATAAGCCCTAATGACAAGCTCATGATCTTTCTCTGTCTTACACAATTCTCTCTTTCCAGCAACCACTCTTCCACTGCTGCAGAGTATGTAGACCCTTATGGCCAGCATTACTGTCTCACAGCAACAGCACAATTTCTAAAATGGGTTGCTCATCCTGTCTCATAATTGACGTAGTGCCTGTGTGGCAGGGTTTTAAAAGCACTGATTCAAGTCACACTGCAGAGAGAGTTATTCACAGTGCTCTCACCATGCTAGTTTGTCTAGAGCATATTCCGTTCCATTGGTTTCACGTTTCTTATGTTGCTAATACATGCGCTGGGGTACAGCACTGAGCTCATTTCATCCTCTCATGCAGAATATATTTATGGGATCTATGATGGTAAACACCTTTGGTCCCAGCACTCAGGAGGAAGAGGCAGGTGATCTCTGTGAGATCAAAGCCAAGGAAAGTCTGGTCTATATAGTGAGTTCCAGGCTAGTTGGGATTACAGGAAGACCTGTCTCCAACAACAACAAAAGTATAGAGGTGGTTGGGCAAAATGCAGTGTGGTCATCTGAAAGATTAGAAAGTTGCATATTGAAGACATTGCTAGGGTAAAGCATGAATTATTTATGAACTTTCCCAAAAGCAACATAAAGGAGAAACTCAACAAAAACCCGATAGTGAGTATAAATTTAGAAAGCATGCAAAATAAAAAGACAAATTAGTATTTGTTAACCACCTAATGTGCTCCAGTCAGTGTTATAGTATTTTATTTAATCTTTTAAACATGCTAATATCCCATTATTACTTACATAATTAGAGCCTCTGATTTTCAGAGAGGTTAAAGAACTTCTCTAAGATCACACAGCTCAAATGTTAGAAGTAATGTTCAAACCAGATTCACTTCTCTGCAAGGTCTATGCTGTTTGCATCATCTAATATCAAATTTTCCTTCTTCATAAGCATTTGTCTTTATTTGATTTAGTAGCAGAGGTGTGATTAAAAGTGGGTTGTTTTCTGTTCCATAAACACATCTGGAAAGGCTTCCTTATTTGTATCTTTATGAGAGTTGATTTTACTGTTCATTTTAGTAAGAATATGTACTCTCATTTTATTTACCCATTGTGATGGCAATTGCTCTTTTAGATCATAAATATAATTATAGACAATTCTTAAAAACTTATTATCTGCCTGTTCCAAATCCTGCGCAGTAGCTATGGCTTTCTTTAGAGTTCTCATAGACTAGTTCCTCATAGTTTTTTCTCTTATGACCAACATTTAGAGCTGTTTTCTTAAGAATTTATTATTGATTGATTGATTGATTGATTGATTGATTGATGTCAGGGTCTGTCTATGTAGTTCAGTCTAGCCTTAACCTTAGGATCCTTAGCCTCCCAATTGATGATAATTAATTATTAATAAATCATCACTTGAGTATACACCTTCAAATCCAGAGAAATAAATAAATAAATACAGAGAAATGCATGAAAAAAATCTAAAAGTAGAAAGGATATACGGAACTCACAAAAACCTCGACAATAAGTCAAGAACACACCCAGTTATTAACTACAAAAGAATGACTTGATGACTAACCCAAAACACAGGTGCAAAAAGTAGAGTATGTAAACCAGTATGTTTAAATTTCATCCCTAATGAATTGCCAAGGAAAACAAGGCAGCTTGAGGAGACTTGTGTAGAGTGTGAACAAAGTCCCTTGGCGCTCCTTCATTGCTCATTTGTGTCAACCCACATGGAGGAGCAATTTCAACAGAATATAAAATCACCGCTGACTGCACGCCTGTCATCTTTGCTGACACAAGAGCACATTTCTATGTCCACTTGTGACAGAGACTTCTGTGAAGTGACTGATTGCTGCCTGGGTAAGTAGCGTGGAAATCCTCAATTTGCTTTCTTGCATTTCTTTTGGAAATCCTCAATTTACTTTAAAAAAAAATTTAAAATTATTTCTATTTGAGACAGGTCTCCTTGAAATCATTGTGGAGCTGAGAATGACCTTGAACTTCTGATTCTCCTGTATCCACCTCCCAAGTACTGAGATTACAGAGATGTAACCCCATGTCCAGTTTATGTGGTACTAGGGATTGAATCTAGGGTTTTGTGTATGCTAAGCAAACACTCTATAAACTGAGCTACATCCCTAGAACCTGAGTTCAGTTTATTAGCACTTGTTTTATAGTTCATAGACTAGTGTTTGATAAAGTCTCATCTCAAATAGTTCTCCCAATGTGTATTAATCCCACACAAAACAGAAATATGGAAGTTTTCTGTTCTTTTAATTATTTACCTGCTAAATTCTTTGGAGAGAGTTGACATAATTAAAAAATTCAATCTGCTGAATTATCATTGATTCATTTAATTATTCAAAGAAAGAGTTAGATGTTCCTTTTTCAAGCAACAATTTTGTTAACAATAGTTAATTTGTCACTTGGTACAGACTGAAATTTTAAATATTGCCTCACATTTTGCAAGTACCTTATCAAACAAACACCTGCTTTATGGTTTTATAATGAATACAATGACATAACACTTCTTTGAGGAAGCATTTAGCTCATATCTTTCCTTTCTTTAAGGGTGCTGTTTATAGTAGTTTTAATCAGGCTTCACCCATGAAACCTTAAATCCAGGCTACATGTGATTTTCAGGGCACGTCTGATCTAGTGCTCAGGGAAATAGTTCAATTGTCTTTTACTTTTGTCTTCCTGATCTCACTCTGTTATCAAGGGAAAAAAAAAACCTTTCTTTTATTTTTCACTAGAAAAGGTGACCAGTTCTCAGAGAAAGGTGAAGAGTAGACCCAGTAGATGAGATCTGTCCTCATCCCAGGAGCTGGAGAACAGCCTGAAGCATTCTGCTACCAGGTGAATGGGTCTTGCCCCAGGACAGTCCACACTCTGGGCATCCAGTTGGTCATCTACCTGGCCTGCACAGCAGGTGTGCTGATCACAGTCCTGGGGAATTTGTTTGTAGTCTTTGCAGTGTCCTACTTCAAAGTACTTCACACTCCTACCAACTTCCTGCTGCTCTCCCTGGCCCTGGCTGACATGTTGCTGGGTCTGCTGGTGCTGCCCCTAAGCACCGTCCGCTCTGTGGAGAGCTGCTGGTTCTTTGGGGACTTCCTCTGCCGTCTGCATACCTACCTGGACACCCTTTTCTGCCTCACCTCCATCTTCCATCTCTGTTTCATTTCCATTGACCGTCACTGTGCCATCTGTGACCCTCTACTCTATCCCTCCAAGTTCACAGTTAAGATGGCCCTTGGGTACATCTTGGCAGGATGGGGGATCCCAGCAGCTTACACTGCCTTCTTCCTCTACACAGATGTGGTAGAGAGGGGACTCAGCCAGTGGCTGGAAGAGCTGCCTTGTGTGGGCAGTTGCCAGCTGTTATTCAATAAGTTTTGGGGATGGTTAAACTTCCCAGCATTCTTTATTCCCTGCCTCATCATGATCACTTTGTATGTGAAGATCTTTGTGGTTGCTACCAAGCAGGCTCAGCAGATCAGCACCCTGAGTAAAAGTTTGGCTGGGGTTGCCAAGCGTGAAAGAAAAGCTGCCAAGACCCTGGGCATTGCTGTGGGCATCTACCTCTTGTGCTGGCTTCCTTTCACTGTTGACACACTGGTTGACAGTCTCCTTAACTTTATCACCCCATCCTTGGTCTTTGACATCTTTATCTGGTTTGCTTATTTCAACTCAGCCTGCAACCCCATCATCTACGTCTTCTCCTATCGATGGTTCAGGAAGGCACTGAAACTCCTCCTGAGTCGGGAGATCCTCTCACCGCGTACACCTACTGTTGATTTGTACCAAGAATGACCCGCCTGAAGCAGCGGGAACTCAGTAGTGGGTCCCTTCAGGATGGAGGAGTGATGTTGTAGACATGACTGTGGGGTGTCCTGAGGGAAGCAGCTTCCAGAATTTAATTAAGTGGAGGAGAAAAACATGCTACTTAATCTGCAGAGAGGGAAAGCACCCTTCTTATTCAGTGTTCTCTTAGAACAAAGACTCAGTGAATCCATCTGGATACCTGGATAAGCCAGAATGCTGGGGAAACATTCAGCTTGTAAGCTGCCACTTTCTTACAACCAAGATGCAGACGTAGACGCTGCCGAGCCCTGAGACCCCTTTCTTTCATCTTCCTGATTTTGCCACATGCACTAGTCAAGTGAGACTCTTCTGGTCCTTGAATACCCCCTTCCTTTTGTCATCATGGCCTCATTAAAAACAATCAAGGATTTTACTACTTCCTCTCTAAAATGGTCCCATAGACCCAACTGTAAATATAATGTGCATTGTATAAGTCAGTCATTGCATTGCATAATCTAACTTTAAGAAACCTTGCTCGCATAGAAGGGGTACTCCAATTGCCTCACCCTGCGTCCCTGTTCAGCATAGAAGAAGCCAGAGTGGTCTGCCTCCCTATTCCCTATTGGCAATTTGGGTAACCCCTTCAGAGGGTGGCGTGGTAAGAATAGGAGGTAGGAACTGGCGAGGCAGTTAGGGGAAAAAGACCCCAAAGAAATGGAGCCAGTTTCTGGGCTAAAAGTCAAAATGTCCTTGGGCCTGTTAGCAACACACTCTGTTCCAAAGGCCAAATATCTCAAAAGCATTTGGGAGCTTGTATCTAATCCTTAAAAGATTTTAGGGTTACCTCTTCAGAGGGGGGAATGTTGGAAGGGAGGGAGTGGGCATGGATTAGATCAAAACACCTTATATGCATGCATGAAATTCTCAATAAAGTTTTTGTAAAAATTAAGAAAAAAAACAAGGAAAAAAAGAAATGTTGCTTGAATCACGATTTCACTTCACATTCAGCAATCATAGTAAAATATTTGGAGTGTCTCTTATTCAAAACATTCCAAAAGAATCTTCATCTCATTGGAAATCAACATTTTAAGATTTGGAAGCCACGTCTGTCCATTTTAATAATCTGTGCAAAAATGTTTTATTAAAGGGCTATTTCTTTTTTTAAAAAAATAACTGAAACTTGAAATATGGGATTTCTTTGTGATAATTACAACACATCTTGACATTTTAATATTCTTTCTTTATGTCTGCATAAAGAAATAAATTAGATCTATCTGTCTCCACAAGCTCCAGTACATTGTTTTCATTAGGAAAACAAGTACCAAATACGTGAGCCACATGCACGCACAGAACTGGCCAAGTGCTTGCACGAGCTTTTAGATGCATCTTGTTCCTGTCTTCTCCTTGAATCTGCTCCTGAAGACCTCTTGTCACTCTTCTTCCCTGTTCTTTACAGATTCTGTTTATGAATTAATACTCGCTTCTTTGGAAACTCTGTATATTAGTTTGAAGTCTCTGGAGTGTGGGTACATAGAAGGCATGGATACAGATGTACAGCCTCACCAACCTCAATAGACAAACAGACCATGAATAAATGATGTGTTCCAGCAGCAGTTTTTATGTCAATGCTCATAAAGATTTGACCATTAAGCAGATTACTTAAAACAGCCATTCGCTACCATATGTGGAGATTTCATTGGCGTATCTTCCCTATCCTGTCTAGAATGCCTTAAGTAGCAGCAGGTGTTTATTCCTCTGGCTCTTGAGAACACTGAAAAAAAATTCACATGTAAGTAATAATCTTCAAAGAAGTAAACATTTACATTTTTTTCTTATATGTGGACCTAGATTTAAAATCAGATATATGTATACATCTGTTTCTGCATATATATATATATGTGTGTATATATAGGTCAAAAGGCTAGAAAAGATCACGAGAGAAGAGGAAGCCATTTTAAGGGAGGTGGTGAATGAGAGAGCAATGGAATACATCAATTAGGAAAGCAGAGGGGACAAACTGGGGGAAAAGAGGGACCAGCAAGAGGGGGTGAGGAGGCATGGGGGCAGAGGGGGAAGAAAATGGGCAAGAAGAAGAAGAACGGCGCATAGGTATGAAGATGCCATGATAAAGCCTAATACTTTGTATGCTAACCTAAAAAATTAATTGTAAAAGTTTGCTTTCTCATTCTAAAAAGAAATGTATTACTTTATCAACAAAAATATTAAAATAGTTTTATTCAATTTATTATATATAAGATACTAATTATACACATATATATGGAAAAAAGAGAACCTTTAGTGGCTCCAAACTTCAAATTTTATTTGCAAAACTATTTTATAGGTATTTTTCAATGCTTAATTTTTCTTTGGAAAACTATTTTTCCCTAACATTGATAGCTAATGAAATTACAGATTAATTATGCATCACAGTTTATCTTAGTACATACAGTTTTCAGACACTAAGAAGCTAGCAACACTGTCACAGACCCAACTGTAAATATAATGTGTATAGCATAAGTTAGTCATCGCATTCAACAGGGCATTTCTCTTCTTGCTTTTCTAGAAACAAATGACCCCTTTTCCCAACCCACTGGGCATGGCAGGCTCCATCCCGAAAGCACGTACCAGCTGCTTTCCAGATGGAACTCTGTGCAGTCACTTGCACAGGAACAGGAAAGTAATTCTGCTTCTTGCATATCTTACTGCTCTCAGTTGGGTACAGAAGGCTGCCCGTCCTTGCCACTTTCTATTGCTATGATAAAAACACTGACCAAAACGAACTTGGGGATGAGTTTATTTTATCTTACGTTTCTCAGGTCACGGTTTGTCACTGAGGGCAGTCAGGGCAAGGAACTCAGAGCAAGAACCTGGAAGCAAGAGCTGAATCACAGACCATGGAGGAAATGTTGCTTATTGGTTTGCTTTCTTATATAACACAGGACCTCCTGCCTAGGGTTAATACCACCCACCGTGGGCTGGGCCCTCCCACATCACTCAACAATCAAGAAAATGCCCCACAAACATGGCCACAGGCCAATCCAATGGGAGCAATTCCTCATCTGAAGTTCGCTTTACCCAGCCAGGTATGTCAAGTCAACAAAAGAAGCTATCCAGCACACTGCTTAGCCAGACCAGCTCCGTGACGAAGAGAAAGGAGGACAGGGAAGGAAGAAACTAACCAGTTAATCAACCTGCAAGCAGGATTAGCATATATAAGCGGCAGGAGGCTTCAGTGAATCATGGAAATACAAGTACATGAATTTCACGGTAAAATGTTCATGTTACCAATGAACCAGGGAAGGATAGAACAAGAATCAGCCCTGCAGGGGACACTACAATGAGAACAGAGCTGATGAGTGGGCAGGTGATTATGGCACTGAGGTGCCTCATCCCAGTATTGAATGCTAGCTCATCATCTTTGATATGAGAACAGGGTCTAAAAAGTAAATATCCTTAGACATTTTGGATAGAATAAAAACCTGCATTCACTGTAATTCTCCTGAGAGCTGAGCATGATGTGATTGATATCTTACTGAAATAATGCCCTTTTATCACTTTGAGCTCCTATTAACTGGGAATCAACTGCAGTTAAGGCAAGTAGCCTTACTTTTTTGCTCTACAGACTCTCAACTGTATGGTAAAGACTGCAGTCCCCATCTTAGAATACAGTTTTTAAGTTGATAAAGTGATTTAAAAGACACTGCATCCTAAAGGAAAATATAACTGTTACGATTATATTGAAACACATCGTTAAAATATCTTGAAAATAGTCAAGGCTATAATATAGTCATGCACGTGCTTCTTTCTGAAAGTATCAAAGAAGTTCTGCTGACAGATACAATGAAATGATTAAAATTCAAAGTAGTGATGAATGTTAATGACATCTCATAGTACCTGCAACAACCATGCTGAAATATGAAAATCCTGTTTCGATTGGTGACAAAAACAAGTGATAATGTCATTGGGTTTGGGCCTATATTGAAAATGAAGGGCTAAAATTTCAGTTAGGGTTAGTAGGTAGAAAAAAGACTTTTCCCATACAAGCTCATGGACACCCTGGTTTAAGAATATCCTTTGAATAGGAGCATCAGGGTACTCTTTCAAACACAATAACTGTGATCTGGTGAATAGAAGGCAGTGACAGTCAGATGTCACCATCTACTCCTTAAAGACTGGCCCCTGATAAGCATTTCATCAAGTGAATCCCACTAGAAAAGAAGTCAATAAGCACAATCATTTCTTGATTTTTTTTTGTGCGTGTATACCCATAAGTGCTTGCTTCCATTTCTTTTTTCCTCAATGAAGACCTGTTTCAGAAAACATTAATAAATTCCAAGGCTAATCTTCCTTGGTTTGGATGACACTGATGATTAGTTTGTTCTCTATACATCTTTCAATTTACTTTCATTGTTTCTTACAGTAGTTCACACATAGCTTGCCATATGAGTGAATAAGTATCACATCTAAGTGCCTGTATACTAGTATAAATAGATTGTGTGTGTATGTGAGACAGAGAGAGAAAGAGAGAGTATGTCTGTATGTACTAGATAATTATGAGTGTATGAGTGTATGTGTATGAAAAGAAGCTTTTAATAACCAGAGAAGGGACTCACTACCTCAGCATCAGTCCTGGGCATTTGTCACATGTTGCCTCTCAGTGATTGCTTTTAAACTCCCTACATCTATTTTATGTTCTTCTACCACTGTTCTTCCACCTACTCCTTGAGTAAATGTCCCAGATTCACTCATTTTGGGTTTGATCAAAGCATTATGGGCACTGACACTTGCATCTCCAAACAGAAGCTGTAAGGCTAATAGATGGTTCAGATCAGTTCTTGCACTTCTGCCTTCTGCCATTAGAACAATTCGTCCTGATAGGAGTTGCTCTTTCATCCAGGGTCTCAGAGCAAGAAGGCACATAGGTAGGATGGTATGAATGCTCATCTGAAGCAGGGTAACCAGCATCCTGCAGCCCTCAATGCAAAATGAACAAATGAAAACAGCAAGAAGAGAAAAGATAAC